TTCATACAATGTATTCATATATACATTATATAAATTATATTTCCTATATTATACAGAATCCATAAGAAAGTGCAGACGTTTGCTAAATGAATGAACACATATGGCATAACTTTTGTCTTGTTTTTTGCGTATAAATTAATTGCATTTCCAATGTAACTAATGCTATGAAACTTTTTGACAGATTCTTTAAGCCGTCCAAAACCGTAATAATAGACCAATTATAAGACAATTTTTACATTTAATACAATAATATTTGGCGGTAAATATAATATTCAAAAAATACTGTAAATGCTATCTTTGGTATAATTGATGTTGTCATGATCAATTATATATCATATTAATTAATATACCAGATAATTAACAACATAGATATTTTATAATACAATATTTTACTTAACACTAAAATACCAAACAATTATTTTTCTAATGAAAATATAAATTTATAGCCATTAAATATCCAATGATTTATAATTATTTGATCACAAGATTTAAATTGAATTTCATGTAAAAACACGACAATTTATTTGGCATACAGTTGTGAATCATTAGTAAATTACAGCAAATTATACTGAAAATACAATTTAATTAAAAAATACAATAAAATTCAATTAAATGCGAAATCAAAGTTGATTTTAAAACGTGAGACAAACAATTCGTTTGCAATGAATTTTGTTGCAAATATTTTGCAAATCCTTATGAAATGCATTCAAATGAATGGATATTCAAATGAATTGTGTAATGAATTGAATAAAATTCGTTGAATTCAATCGCAAAGACAAAGTGAAATCGATTTGAGAAAAAGGTTACTCTGTTTTCCATTTGCTTCTCAAATAAGCCATACTTTCTATTATAATGAATTGCTTGAATCAATTTGAATGAACTCTAATAACTTTCATATCATTTCACATTCTTTGAAAAAGTGGGTGAAATGTATAGATATTTTATAACTTAAAGTAATGTTAATACCAATGATTACAATTGGATTTAGCTTATTTTACATTATAATTAATAAGCTCTAATAAATGATTTATCTGTATATTATTAACTTATATAATCATTTGTAAAACAATTGAATGCGTAAAATAACATTCATTAAAGAGTCGCAAGCCTTTGATCAGCAAAATTGTCTATAAGTCGAGTCATTTGATTAAGTTATTTACGTGTAATCCCTTCTGTTATAATACTTTTGAATGAATTTAATTGCAAAAACAATTTTCAAATATATTACAAGTTATATTTATGTTATATATTAAACTAAATGTGAAGACATTGAAAATAAATATTTTTTATAAAAAAATTAAATTAAATTTGTTGATATAATTGAACAATATTTTAATTTTTATTTTTTATTTCCTAACGTTTAATACGTTAAGAAGACGGAGGAAAAAAAGTAAAACTGTTTTTCATCATTGAATGAAAAAACATAAACAGGAAAAATATGAGTCAATAAAAGTCACAAACAGTTTTCAGTTATAGAGACGACAGTTATAGCGATTTTATCGGCGAATCTTAAGTTTTATATATGAAAAGTGGAGTTAAGACCCAAATATTAGCAACAATTTTATTTAATCATTCAATGGCTTTACATTAACCCAAAGATATAGCGGACAATATTGTGCGTAAAACCCGACTCTTCTCCTCAATAATAAAATTAGATGAAAGTTAAGGAATGAGACATTTATTCACTTCGTTTCCTTTCCATACGACTATTAAAAGCAATTTTCGTTTCCTTAACTAATATATACAACACAACTCATTGTCTGTTTTGTGAGCCATTGATCGACCAAAATTTTTTATACATTTTCTACACTAACTCTTAAAATTATAGTCATTTTGATGACTGTCTTCACTGCAAGAAAGGTCTAATTCCGGGAAAGTTTTTTTTCATTACATATAAATTCTGTGAGTTTGGTCTCTACTGGGGTTTTGCATGTTATCCAATGTTTTGCTCATTTATTGCGCAAAATTTTGAAACTTTGTATAATCTTAGCATTGATTTAAGTTATCATGTATTCATGAATTCATAGGAATTTGTTGTATAATATATGATAAACTGAACGATTTATACAATTGAGTTCATTTCTCATAGACAGTAATATTTCAATTCCCTGTATTCACACAATTGTTTAGTAAAATATTTACAACTCTTTAACGCAGAAATTATATTAAATATTTGAATAAAATACTAGATTCTTAATTAATGCCATTTATGCAGTTTTGTTAATTATTCATTCAAATATAATTTTTATAATTAAAGATCAAAAACGGAGTCTAATACTAACAATTGAGCGTTAGTTTAATTGCAAACATTTGGATACTATATTTTAAAGTAAAAACGACTGAATTATGAAATAATTAAAATTTGCATTAATTATGAGCAAAATAATTAAAAACTCAAACACAGATTACGTAAAGTCATATATTTTACAAATAAATTAAGAAAATATTATAATTTATACATTTGTGATGACATTATTAAACACATAAGCATTAAGTTTTTAAAATAATCAATATTTTAATAAAAATTTGTAGAAAGTTTAATTATTAATCAAAAAATAATTTCCTTATTTCAAAAGCATATCCAGAATATAGAGTAGTGGTCGGAGACAGAGTACAACTTCCCTGTAATATAAGTATTCCTTCAAAAGGTACTTTGAAAGTTTATTAATGAACATGGTTGAGTAATTATGGTAAATTAACAATTATAGACGATGTGGTCACATTGATTCTGTGGTATAGGGGCGACACTACTGGCGGTCCCATATATTCAGTGGACGCCCGACAACAGATGCCTAATAAACAAAGTCAACACTCTATGAGCGATGAGCTGACCAATCGGGCGACGCTTAATATTACGGTCAGACCAGCGATACTGACCATAGATCCGGTTCGGGCCGAGGATGAGGGCGAGTATAGGTGTCGAGTGGACTTCCGTTGGGGCCGAACCATGAATACTGTTGTTAGCCTTATTGTAATCGGTAAGCATTTGTATTAAGTAATTAGTTTATGCCAGTAATGTCTTATGTTTTCTTACATTATAATATTTTTGACAACTGTATAACACTTTTTTAATTAATTAAATATTTAAATATTAATTTCATTGTGGGTTAAGTGATGAATATAATGGATGTAGCTGTATTGAATTATTTTACTGTATTTAAACCATTTTATTAAACTTCGTGCAATTCTATTCTCTGTGAGCCAAATGAATAATATAACTAAAAATTGTGATGCATCATGCTCATCTACATCGCATAATTTACTGCTAGAATATTACCGTCCCGATACACCTTATACTGCGGATCAGAATAAATGATAAAATGGGAAACACTAGTGAAGAATACGAACAAAACGTATAAAAATAAAAGAATAGAGAAAAAAGAGTAAAAGTTATAAATTATAGAAATGAGAGAAGCATTGAAGTCATTACTGGCGGCTGAGATGTAATGTGCATTAGATGTGATGTGCGGTGTGTTGTTGTGTTTGCAAATGTAGTGCCGCCTCGAAAAGTGATCATTAAGAATGAAAAACTGGTGCCATTAGAGGACGAGTTGGCCGGACCTTATCAGGAGGGCAGCGATGTTAGGCTTACGTGCGAAGCCAAAGGTGGTAAGTGTTGTGCAACCAATTTGTTTTAGACACACACCATATACTGTACAGAATACACATAACTCTAGTACAATATATACTGAATATACCGTTTATGGTGTGATAATAATTGCCATTTTTCTCTTGTTGTTATTTCCGCTGTCGTCGTCGGGCATGTGTTGTGCGGACGGTGTGGCCAATGATAGCCCGACCGCCAGCGCGGGTCAAATGGTATCGCAATAAGCAGATGATGGATGACTCCTATGAGATCATTCAAGAGGGGACGCGAGTCCGCAACGATCTCACCATTAATAAAGTCACCAGAAATGACTTATTCGCTGTCTATCGCTGTCAAGCCTTCAACACCAACCATACGGTTCCCATTGAGGCCAAAGTTGTATTAGATATCACTCGTGAGTCACAACACATTGTCTCCAATTGTATATATTATTATATAATCGTTGATATATTTGCCATCAATTGCTTCAATATTTTTATGATTTGTTTCTTGCGTTCAGTGAATGGGGTTTGCATTTGATATCGATTTTTGACATTTGTTTTTGAAAAACAAATTATATGTAAAAATATAACACATATAAAGACAGAAAACTTATTCACAAAAATAAAAATAAGGTTATTTGAAAACACAGAATATTTTTATATTTAGATTTTTTGGTAGTTTTTGGCAAAAATCTTTTGCAGTCATTGTGTTGTCATTTAAAGGAGAAATTTATGTCGAAATTAAATATATGTAATATTTGGCACAAACTCTCCAAATATTTGCTTTAAGTTATTATTAGAAATATTATATTATTTATTATTATTATTTGTACTTATGTTACGTAAGTGTAGGATATACTCAATAACTTATATTTATTTCATTTTTGACACAACTTTTTTATATTGAATTTAAGACAGATTTTTGGTTATTTACAAAATTATATTTTAAAACATTAAAACAATTAGTAATTCATATGATATATACGGTCTGTAAAACAGTTCGACCAACAAATGTGCAAATCATAGCAAACAACGAGCCATTAATATCGGGCAGAAAGACGGATGTGATGTGTGTGTCGAGTGGATCGCGACCTATGGCTCGCATCACGTGGTATATGCATAAGAAGAAAGTACCGGAATCGAGGTATACATACACTTACATTACATTGAATCTAAACCCAAAAAACACAACAATATTCTGTATGCAGTACTTTAGTAATAGTAGTAGTGGTCGTGTGATTGATAGTCATTCACAGAATATATTAAACATACATTAAGTTTACAATATGTTAAATGACATAGAATTGACAAAAAGGATTTGGCATTTATTATACAATATCTCTATTCCCGGGTATATATTGCCCAACAATTGGTTCCTTTTGTCTATCGATTAAATATTTATGAGTTTTTATTCATTTTGTCAAAAAAGATACAATACATTAGTTTTTGTCTCTGTGTTTGAGCAAAGATTTTAAAAAGCTATCAGTAATATATACGGTATAATCAAACGAATGGTTTGTATTTTATTTGTTTATTTACAGAGAGTTTTATTCGGACGACGGGAATGTGACCACAAGTCTAATCACGTTGAGTCCAGTGCCTGATGATAATGGGGGTCAATTAGTCTGTTCGGCCCAAAACATTCACA